GAGCGCGGGCGGGCGGGAAGGGCGGCCATGCGCGCGCACGCAGCAGGTCGCTGAGGGGCGGGCTGTCGCCCTTGGGTGCAGTGCCGGCGGCGGGATGGAGCCAGCGGCAGAGTCCCGGCCCGGCCTGGTCCCGGAGCTGAGCCCGGAGGAGGAGCAGGTAAGCGGCCCCGGCGGGTGTGTCCGGGCCTGGCCGTTCCCGGGTCCCAGATCATCCCCTGCGCGCCGGGCCGGGTCCCCCCCGTGCCTCAGGTGCCCCCCAACTCCCGGGGGACCCTGGGGAGCCCCGCGCCCAGACCCCGTGCGTCCCCGCAGATCTCGCCGCGCCCCATTGTCCCCGAGGATGCGGTGCCGGGTTGTCGGGTCTCCGTCAGGGAGAAGCCAGCGCCGGGCTACCCCACCTTCCCTTCAGCCTGGGGACCCGGCGCTCCCGGGGGACGCGGTCGGGCGCTGCTGTGTGCTTCCTGGCTTTGCCTGCGTCCAGCCCGAGCTGTGCGCAAACGCAGACACAGTCTGATTCTCATCTAAAAATAAGCGAATAAAAATAAGATGAAATCCATGAAAAAAGCAGAAGATGTGCCCTGCCGGTGGCTCATTTTGAGCCCCCCAGCCTTTGTTCCTGGGGCCCACACACTGGTCAGCGCGGTCTGTCCCCGACTGCAGACGCCCTGGTTTCACAAACTGATTGATACTGGCTGGTGGCCTTATTTGAGACCTGATTTTTAAAAGCCCTTGACTGTTCTCCTCCTTTTTGGTGATGACGTTTTTCACATTTGGCCTCAGACCACAGTCTTGTCTTTTGATGCCTTGAGATAAAATCAACATAGGAAGAACCTTTTAGAATTTTGTTTTGTACCCATGGTAATAGTGTCCTGGTCACTGCAGTTGGGTGTTATTAAAATGCTAGTCAGACTCTAGTGCAAGCAGGTGGCCCATGAGCCCATCCTGCCAGCATTGGGGAAATCCTTCAGGGCTAAGGTTAATATATTAGGTTGACTTTAAAGAGCTCTTAAATCTTTTTTTCCTTGGGTTCTATTTGAAGTTTCTAAGACCTAGCGGTGACAGGCATGGTGGCGCATGCCTATAATCCCAGCGCTTGGGAAGCAGAGGCAGGAGGATCCAGGCAAATTCGAGGCCATCCTGGGCTACATAGCTGAGACCATCTCAAAAGGCAAAAAAGACCTAAAGGCATCAGTCCTCTATGAAAATGGCATTAGGTGGCAAACAAAATTAAAATGAGGAAAGTAAATGTTAAAATATTGAATGTTTTCATAATCGCATTTTTTTCTGCAAAATGCCAAAATTTCTACAGGCGTTTCAAAGTGTTGAAATATAGACATAAAGGCAGCATTGTTCTAATTATGGAAATACCTGGTACTCTTATATTTTAATAGTTTAATATTGCATAAGCATTCTCTTAACTATTAAAATTTCTTTGAAATATTTAACCAGCAGTGAAGTCACATCAATCTTATCATAGGAGTTGTCAAGAGAAATGACACATTTGTTCCCTAATGCTGCCCCATTGCTCAAACTAGTTTTAGAGCTCATTTGGAGTTGATTTCAAACTTTACAGTGGAGACTTTAAAATATCTCAGTGTTGGAAAATTTTTGTTCTTTTGAGAGACTATTTGGAAATAGCAAAAATTTTTTTTGAACCCTATTTCATAAGCAAATAGGGGACTGCACTAAATTAACACATTTCCAAGGAGAAGCAAAAGTACAGTGAGGCCTTCCCTTTCTGGGGCATGTGAACTGCCTTGCAGATGTTTTTGGAATAGACCCCTCCTGTATGGTGTGTACTTCTCTTTGTCCTGCGGATCAGAGGTGCTGCTGATGGTGTATCCTTAGAGTTTTCTGAATATCTCTTGGATTTATCAGCTTCCTTGCACCACTGCCCCCACCTCCCCGCAATCCAAAGTACTGTTCATATTCTCACAGGAGTTCTGCTTCCTACCTGAGCAATCTATAGTCCATAAGCTGAAGTCTCATTGCAGACCTGATTGTGCCTTCCCCTTGGCCTGCCTGATTCCAGAATGAGCCTTCATGAAACCCTTCTGTGCTTTTGGCTTTGGTCCTGCTAAGAGTTCAGTCCAGCTTGGCTTGATGGAGCTGGGCAAACGCTCTGCCACTGAGCTACCCCAGCCCCTCCTTTAGTGGTGTTTTTGCTTTTGGGATCTGTGCAGCCTGCAGCCTTGCTATGTCCCTTTCATCTCTGCTGTGGGCACACTGGCCTGTGGTCCTGCAGTCTTGCTGTCTCTTGCTGCTGCAGGGAAGTTGTGTGAGCTGGAACCCTCTCCTTGTGGGCTCCCTTCTCTTCCTTCAGCTCCGGACTCTCCCGTCTGTGCAGAAGGCCTGTCTTGAGCTCCTCAGGTTAGGACCCTCTTGCTGGCTGTCATTCACTTGTCTTTCCATAATTTATCATGTTTGTCCTTATCTGTGTGATTTCATGACTGCAAGCTCCAGGAAGATTGCATCTTTTCGCTTTTGTCACTTGCATGCATGTCGCCTGGCATGACCGACACTGAGTGGACATTTACAAGTACTTGTGGAATGAATGAAGGTCAGTTTTCTTGATCTGTATGTAGCAGCAGCATCTCCTTTGAGAATGACTTATAAAAATAAGGACATTGTTAGCCGGTATGGTATTGCATGCATGTCATCCCAGCCAGCAGGACTTAGCTGCTTAGCCAGACCCTGTTGCAAAATTTAAGAAAGGACTGGGAATGTAGCTCAGTGTGAAGGCCTTGGGTTCAATGCCCAGTACTGCATGTGCACACACAGGAGTCCATAGCCATTTCCTATCTAAACTTCTATTGAACTGATACAAATCGTCATTTATAACTTGGGTATCTCTTATCTTTGTTTCTTATAGTTCTTCAACAACTAGAGTCTACAATGGGGTTACAAGAAAAAAATACGAAAAAAATATGATTTGTCAGGGCTGGGGATTTAGCTCAGCGGCAAAGCGCCTGCCTGGCAAGCGCAAGGTCGTGAGTTCGGTTCCCGGTACTGGAGAAAAACCAAAAAAAAACAAAACAAAAAAAATATGATTTGTCTGTAAGGAGTTTACATGAATAACAAGGGAATATTACCAGTAACAGTGACTGTTTCCCGAGCTTCTGCTATGAGTCAGGCCCTGTATCAGGCATTTCACATACACTTAATCCTCCCACGACTGGAATTAAATACTCTTTCTGGAAACAAGAAAACTCAGACCAGAGAAAGAAATCGCCCAAGGGCACATGGATAGTGAGTGATAAAACCTGGATTTCCACCCAGGTTGAGGTTATGCTTTCTCCTTTGCCAGTATTTTCTCTATTGTCCTACATTATTTCTCATGAAGCAGTTGGGCAATTTACTTAGCTGCTTAAAAGGATATATAATGGCTAACTTTTTTTTTTTTTTGTCTTTTTGAGACAGGGTCTTGATGTTCAGCTCAGGCAGGCCTTGAGGTCACTTTGTAGCCCAGGCTGGTCTTCAACTCACAATGATCCTCCTGCTTCAGCCTCCCCAGTGCTGGGATTACAGATGTGCACCACTACACCCAGCATAACAGCTAATTTTCTGGGTTTTAGTATTGTATTGATATATGTATTTGATTTTGATAATACTTCCTTGAAAATGATTTTAAAAGTGCAGACAGAGAAAAACATTTGGAAAATCTTACTCAGAATTGTATATTGCCAGGAGAAACATTGTATACTCTATGCAAGAAAATGTGATGAAATGACTCTTGGAAAAAACTTCCTTAAAATAGAGTTGAAGTTGGTTATGGTTTTGCATGCCTATAGTCCTACCATTCTGGAGGCAGAGGCAGGAGGATCACTGGTCAGCCTGGACTACCTAGTGAGTTCAAGGCCAACCTGAACTACCCTGTCTCAAAAAACAACAAAACAAAACAAAAATGCACAACGTGGATGTGGTGGCATATGCCTATAGTCCTAGGACTCTGTGAAGATGAGGCAGGAGGATCACGGGTTTGAGCCCAGCTTGGATAATTTAGTGAAACCCTGCCTCAAAAAAAAAAAATTTTTTTTTTAAAGGGCTGGGATTGAGTTCAGTGTGAAGGCCCTGGGTTCAATCCTGCAAAAACAAAACAAAACAAAAACTGAAAGAAAAAAAGTGATTTGTGGACTAGGGAGGGCTGTCACTCAGTGTTAGAGTGAGTGCATGCATGTGTCAGGCCCTTGGTTTGATCCCCAGCACTGTGGAGAAAAAAAAGTAATTCATTATTTTGTTTCTATATTACTCATATTTTCAGTGTTGGGGATGGAACCCAGGGCCTGACGGATGCTAAGCGTGCACTCTATCTGAGCTACACCCCAACCCTTGTTGCCGTAACAAATAATCTACTACTTTATTTTCAAAGCCAAGGCTGAGGATATAGCTCAGCAGCATAAGCGCCTGCCTGGCAAGTGCAAGGTCCTGAGTTCGATTCCCAGTACAAATAAATAAATAAATAAATAAATATTTTCAAAGCCTCTAAAAAAATTTCTTTTCTTTTCTTTCTTTCTTTCTTTCTTTCTTTCTTTCTTTCTTTCTTTCTTTCTTTCTTTTGTTCCTTCCTTCTTTCTCTTTTTTCTATTGGTACATTTTAGGTATATTACTGATAACATTCATCAGAGGGAATTTTTACCTGTATATAATATATCTTGCTTCTTTTTTTCCTATTCCCCGCTCCTTCCTTCAGCCTGTCTTCTACTTATTTTCAAGTTTTGTTTCCATTTTTTCCTTCCATTCTTTTTTTCTTGTCCTTTCCCCCTCCCCCCTCCCTTGTTCCTCTTCTCATTTGAATGTTTTCTTCCCATTTCCTATTTTTCCTTTGTTTCTTTTTTTTCCTTTTTCTTTTTTTCCCCCCTTTTTCGTGTTGGGGGTGGAATGCAGAACCTTGCACATACTAAACATGTACTCTACCACGGAGCCATATCACCCCCAAAATTAGGTGACACTGGGTTTTTATTTTTGGGTATGTGTGTGTTGGAGATGAATGCAGGGCGGTATGCATGCTAGACAAGAGCTCTACCACTAAGCCATACTTCCAACATCTTTCTCAAGAAAATTCTTTTTTTTTTTTTTTTTTTTTTTTTTGAGACAGGATCTCACTATACAGTTCAGGCTGACCTTGAGCTCACTTTGTACCCCAGGCTGGCCTCGAAC